ACATTTTGAATAATGTCAGCTTTGTATTAAAAGTGTCATAATTCACCGAATGATGCTTTATGACAACAATCATAAATATTCATGAAGGCTTATTGATGTTCATGACAGGTGTTATGTCATGTTAATGAAAGTGTCATGACAGTCTTATTCAACCCACTTCAAATAAAGTGTTACCGAAAACATTTCAGCCCTATTAACCAAATTGAATTGTTATGCATTATATAAGTACGTAGTATTAAATTGAAAAGTATGTAATTAAATGTAAATCTATCCAGATTTGTTGTAATTAGCACTATAAAAACAATAGAACATTTTTCAAGTAAGTGATTGACATTGCTGTCAAAACTCGCCAAAATCATGATACCTGGTGTAGGTGCATTGCCTATAACGCTGTTTGCCATATGCCAGGGTACCAAGAACCAGAACCCTACCTGACCTACTCTAAAATTTACAGCATCAGCCAGCAAAACTAAATTTAGAAATTGAAGATGGAAATATGGAAATTCAGGTTTAACAGCAGCACAGCAAAGGGAAGTGGAAGCATGCAGATTCATACAAAGAAAAGAAATATATGATGAGAGCTAGAGTAAGAAATTATACAGTAGAGCAAACTTACAATGTAAGGTACGTAATACTGTAGTATACTTACTACAGGATTACTTAGCATTAGCGAACATTTCAGGTGAGAGACGGGGTACACCGTGGACAGGTCCCCAGTCTTTCACAGGGCAACACAGACAGACAGGACAAACAACCATACACACACACACTCACACCTAGGGAGAAGTTAGAGAGACCAATTAACCTGACAGTCATGTTTTTGGACTATGGGAGGAAGCTGGAGTACCGGAGAGAACCCATGCATGCACAGGCAGAACATGCAAACTCCATGCAGAAAGACCCGGGCTGGGAATCAAACCCAGTACCTTCTTGCTGCAACGCAAGTCGTTTAATAGCTGAACTATAGATAGGTTAGAGTAAAGTCTCCTGAAGGTATAAACATCTCTAAAAATGATCAGGATTAAAAACCTCTCTAAAGCATTTTGTAAAATATATGATGAATATATGACAAAATGGGCCAGTTAGCAGTGAAAAGGTGTAGAGAGGTTTTTAAATGTTGTGGTTTTAAAACCACCAATATTTTATATCTTACAGATCCGACACTCTAATGGATATTAGTCTGAGTTCTATGTGAAATCCTGTGAAACTGTGGTATTGTCATCCATGGATACGAAGCATAGGAATCTCATGCTATGGCTGGTAATGACTTGAGATTTTTGTAAGAATTTCCACACAATTCTCACAGTTACCCATCATAAAAAAATGTAGACATATGGTAATCATTATAGAACAAAATATACAAAAATCTAGCCTGGTAAAATCCGACCCCTTGTTCTACACTTTGCTTCGGTCAGAGGGTCACTTTATTTATTTCCTCCACTGCCAAACTTCAACCATACTACAACACAAAAACAGCGCAGATAATCGAGATTATTCACAACTCTTCTTCTGCTCATTGATTGGTCAGGATTAAATTCAACTGTGGAATTGAGATCAATGGAAGAAATCCCGGATGGAGCACTGGATGGAGATGAGAACTGAACTGAATTTGTGTAGGGTGGTAATAGCCATGCTAACCAAATGCTTTGATTTCCGCACAATGCAAATTGCAGCATTACTCCTCCTTTCCCTTTGATCATTTCTGATATTTTTTCTGACATTTCTTTTTCACTGAAGATCAGTTTAGTCTCAGTTGTCTCACTCAGCCAGGCTTACAAAGGCTAGACTACTAAAACACTGTCACCCTAAACTTGTTGACCTTCCTGGCCTCTGCCCATACTGAATGACTGAATCTCAGACAGCCTTATCTTGGGCCACCTCCCTATGGAGCTGAAGGCCAGTGTCACTTTCTCTGCATGTCTGCAGACTCATGCATCTCATTTTTATACCTGCCTTGGCACAATAATCACCAGTGAACAAAGGCAGAAGAGGCGTTGCGGCTGATTGCAATAGCCTCATTATGTTAACCTTTTTAAAGTATCGCCTTTATTCACTGACTTTGTTAGACTTACAATTCTATCAGTGTAATTATGGACAAGATGTCCTCTCATCTCTCAACTGTGTCCTCATCCTCTCCAAGGGTCGAATCCATTGGCAGTTAATGTGTATATTTAATCATTAACTCTGGGTCAGTTGTTTCACATCTTAATTCTTTAATATATGCTGCTGATAAAGAGATGGCTTTTTGTGCATACTATTATACATGATATTTTATGTTTAAAACACCAAATATGACTGCCAGACATTCACTCCTTCTGGAATGTGTTTTGGGCATTGGCTTCAAGTTTTGTTCATTATTTTCAGATTTGAAGCATATCTTATGTTATATATTTGCCATATGTTTGTCCTTAACTTCTTTGTTAGCACATTAGCTCCATTTTATACCAAACTAACTTTTAGCTACATGAGAGATGTTTTTTTGTTTCGAGTAACAACTGAATATGTAATCATGTCTATAATTAGTCAAATCACAGACTGTTAAATTGAATATTAGCACATTTAACACATTTTAATGTGTATTTTTGTCATCTTGGAAATATGGGACTGTTCACAGAACAAGCTGTATCTATCGCTAAACAAAGAAAAAAAAATCTGTTTTCAAAAGTAAAGTATTGAAATAATTTTTGTTTCCTCTACTGAACATGTGTGATTACATGGAATTTTGCTCTGCATTCAACAAGTTATAACAAAACACATTTGAACAGTTAAATATCTCCAGCAATGATTTTGGAAAGCGAAAATAACTTTACTGTAAATGTAAAATCAATATTTTAAGTTGTAGTTGTACTTTGTAGCAGCACAAATGCCTTAACAGTGACCAGTTCCACCAATTTGGAAGTCAAAGTTTTGACACAGAGGCGTTCTGTCCCAGTTCTCAAATTTTTGCACGCTTGTAACCTGCACACTCAAACCCGTATGTTCACTTCGACTGAGTCCACATTTCATTGAGGAGCAAAGGGTACAGCTGAGTATTGGGACTGGACCTACAACTTGACATCAAGGCTGAGGCAGGAGTGTAGTAGAAGAAACACTGCCACCTGCAGGTGGGAGTTAATAGTCACTTAAGCCCAGAGGTGACAATTTTTGAGGAAAATTTGCTATAATTTCACAATTATATAGTAGTTTAAAAAATGCAGGGTTCTGTTGATTTCACAATAAATGGGAGGGATTGATAATTTCACCAACAAAAGTCAATCATCAACAGATCTACTTTCAATTGATGGATTTAGAAACTAGTTGAAAATGCAGCTGTCCAGGTGTGTTTCTTGCAGGGGTACTGCCTTTTGATTTGTGTTCTTCAGGAAGATTTCTCCATATGTTTAATTGGTATGGCATCCAACAAATGTTCCAGCATTATTTCGTTGACCAATGCAGATTCTGGATTCATCACCACATCCTGCTGTCCCAACATTCACTTCTTATTCCATGTTCTTGTTTTTTATTTCTTTTGGTAAGCATTTAATATTTTCAATATTTGTTTGCATCGTGATTGTTTGATGTTTTCCCTTGTGTACTTGAATGCTTCCTTCTCACAACGTTCAAATTTGGATGACAATTGCTCCAGATGATACCCAACATCTTTTGCACCAAAAGATGCTTCCTGGTTTCTAGCCTGTAAGCAGACTCGGACATAGTGATTGATTTCTGTTTTTTCTAATCTGCATCAATGTGAACTGTGAATCAGTCATGAAAATGCATATATAAAGGTTTTTGTATTTTACAAATTCCTCCTGGTGTAAAATAAGTCACTCTCTCTGGTACTGAATTACCATATGTAAGTTTATTAATAGGGAGGTGACTGAGCCTCATACCAACATTTTTTAAATATAAATAGGCACAGGATGTTACAACTTAATTAGAAAATTTACTCAACAAAACAACAGCAGACACATTTCAAAGAAATGTTCTCATCATATCTCTTCTGCCAGTCCTATTCTCAGTACGGTTTCTGACTCATGTACACACACCTTCACTTGCATTCATTTCATACCTCTCCCTTCGCACCTTAAGCCTCCCAAGCCTCGTGGATTTAGAGCACAACTCTCTTTTCTCCAGCTCCTAATTCAAACCTTTAAAAAAGCACTAAGCAGTGTATTAGGTTTCATCCATGCAGTTAAGAGCGGTGTCAGTGTGTTATCCAGTTTTTAATTTTTTGTGCCATATGTCGAAGCAGACAAAAACCTCAACATGTGGCTGAAGGAGACAATAACCGCTATGCGGTATCCGACCATAATGCTGTTAATGCTGCGCGCCTCTGTCTGTGCAAATCTTAAAATGGGTCATAGTGCTCACAGGAGCAAAGAGCACAGATGCATGTCACACAAACTGAACGTGGTAACAACTGTGAAGGGAAGGAAGGGAAAACTGCAACAGCAAGTTCAAGATAAAAAAGTACAAAAAAAGGAGAAAAAGTTCAAGTAAAAGCCAAAGGGGAAATATTGGAGAAAAGGAAAAAAAAGAAACAGGGAAGATGTGATTGGGTGCAGAAGAAGATGAAAATGAGACATGGAATGGAGAGACAGAGAGAGCCATCATCTTTAAGTAACAAGGGTTCTTGTCTTATCCCTTCCCTTACACACACACTTCCTCCTTCTTAGTGACTCAGTCACCACGGCAACAGAGCAGAGGGTAAATCGCCACAGCAATTGCCCTAGGACGTGTCATGCATGGGAATGCTGGGTCCCTGCTGCCACCACAGTGTAGAATGCCAGCATTTGTGCACACACACTTACCCACACACCAGCATTAGCATCACGGTCAGAAAGCTAAACAAATAACCTGAAAAATTATTTAAATCAACGAGCTGGCGATGCAAGACGCTGGTTCTGCTCTCGCTGTTGGACCGTTGGTAATAATATTTCATATATGGGGCACCGCTACTCTAGGTGGAGTAGAAGCACTGCTTCTACTCCACCTGACAAAACGAACGTTTTGAACGTTTGCTTAACGCTGCAACATGCAAGTTAAACAGACAAAATATTTTGCATATATATTAAAATGTTCGCTGTGTCCTAACATAAGACGGATAATCTCTGAAAAAATAATCAATCTCTTCTGCCTCCTCCTGTGTTCTGTAGAATTACTCAGCTCAGTCAGAACCAACCAATCAGAACCAGAACAAAACAGCCATGTTCTCAGGAAGTTTTGATTTAGTAACTCAGGATTGTTTATTTTGATGCAACCGGTGTTTAACATTGAATGAATGTTTCCTTTTTAACTTGAATTATTTGATATAGGCAATGTTATGAGATTTATTTGATTCATGTATAATTTAGGTTTTGAAAGCTTTATTGTTTTATATTGTATTACTGATTGCAGGTTTTTAAGTTGTCCTTTTGACTGAGTAGCTGCTCTATTGTGCCTACAAGTATTTTGCATGTTTATGTCTAAATTAGGTGAATTTATTGCCAGATCATTTTTCCATTTTGGAAGATCACATAGTCTCATTTATACCTAACGCAAAAAGTGATTTTTATTGTGATTGTGGACCATATTAGGAACCAGAATTGAATGCAACTGTGTCATGTACAACAGCGACATTTTTGCTCACTCAAGTTTAAAATCCTTTGATATGAAACTGCTGAAAATCTAATGGTAACTAAGGTGATGGTGTATATCCAGCATAGCGGCAAACAGACGTTAAACTGAACAACATATCGAGAGGAGCAATGTTCATGTTCTTTGAGAAACAAACACAAAGAGAAATCATCTTCAAAGTGAACAGTAGATAAGAGCTCTTTGGACCTTGAGGGAATTGCCTCAACTCACAAACAATATGACAGGCTCTGTGCCGAACACTAAACAGGTGTCTTCCTCTCAGCTATGTCTCCAAAGCTCAATGCTCCTGATAGTCCTTGTCTCAAGCCTGGGCTGTTTATGAAATCTTTAGCTTTTCTTTTGTAATGTGCACTGAAGAGGTTTTGGTAATAGCTCCACATCTTGACGCTCAGTTATATAAGCGACCATTCCACTGACAGACACAGTTTCCACTGAAGTTTTGTGGCACTTCTTTATGAGTCTCCTGATGTACACTTCAGTTGCTTTTTTCAGACCAGAAGGCACAGGTGTGATGGATCTAAAAGTAAAGCCTGTGAGCAGGAAAAATCACACTTAACTGTGCCGTAAGTGCCTAGAAAAGATACACAAGAGAGCAACATATAGAAAAACAGAGGTTTACACAGTCCCATCACCAGGAGCACAGACCTGACCTTTAACAACAGGTCCTCAATAACAGCATTTCTTTTGAGGTGCAGTGTAATTCAGATGAAAGGTTTCCTGAAGTGTCTCCATCTTCAGTATAATAAACTGAAATCAGACATCATCAAAGCAGCATTTTGTTCTAAGCTGTGTTTACTGATGACTTATCCCTGCTTGCATTGAAGGAACAGTTAAATCAGGACCTGTCGTCCTTGTCGCTTCTTATTAAAGCTCTGCTTATTCAGGTGACCAAGAATCAATTCATTATTGCTTAGACACAATTAGTTTCAGCAACTATGCTCCAAGCAGGAAAACAATCATCACTGCAAAGGCTTCATTAGTGGACTATTTTCAATGATTTTTTTCTGCTCTGGTACTGTTTAACTTAGTAATAATAAGTGAAGCACTACATACCCCCTCAGCTTTAAATTGTGTCAATTTGATTAGGCCAGGGGTAAAATTCTTAACTCTTTAAAATTGGCAACCAAATATTAAACAATTAAAGATAATTTACTTTCAGTGACCGTAAATAGAAAAAAAAAAGAGTTGGTTAAATTATGTTATGATCTGTAGTTGTTTGGACTTTGTGCTTCTGGTTTGTGATCATTTCTTTATTATTTACTTAGAGCTTCCATTTCAGTTTGTTTCTGATGTGAATTTATATATTTTCTTTGTACGTTAAACTGAACAGCATATCAATGTATTTTATATATTTTCTTTGTACTGAAATTAGAAAGAAAATATATAATCACATCGGAAACAAACTGATGCACTAATCTGTTTACTTAGATTAGTGCATCTTTCTGTTCATTGTTAAATCAGTCTTAGGTCCTCTCTTATGTTTTCCCTCCATTGTTTTATCTTTCCCACAGCCTCCCACTTTGTTTCTTGTCCCCGCTGTTTCTCATTTCCTCATTTGCCCCTACCTGCTCCCTTCCTTAGCTACATCATTTCACCTGAGATTAGATCTTCTGTGGTTTCATTTATAAAGCTTGCATGCACACAAAACAGGGCTTGAAACTTGCATGTGTCACGTTCCATACAATTGTTCTGAGTTATAAAACATAAACTTGACAGGAAAATGTGTGGTCCCTCACTCCAACTCTGACTGTTTATGCTTGATTTGGAAAAGAAGAAAACTGTGAGACAAATGGTGAGAAGGGGAATTGAAGTTACACTACATTGTGATTATCTATAATTACAATCAAACTTTACCCATTGACTGACTTATTTTTAGTGTGATATATGTTTGCACTGTGAGCCATAACTACTAGGTTCTTTCAAATAAGCAAAAAAATATATCTTTAAGACAGGAGTACAATTTTGGGGTACTTTAACTCACCTCTATCTATGAACAATTGCTCTATGAATTACTTTTTTTTAACAAAAACATTGCCATAAAATAATGTCTATCACTGCAACGTCCATCCCACCCCATGAGAGTAGGGCAAGACGGGCTGTGGTGGGCGTCCCTTATTTTAATTAATGAAAGGTGGCAACCCAAGAGACTATCGAACCATCAGGTGACAAAACACTCTTAGAAATGTTTTTTTTTATGTATTTCTTTCTTTTTTCATTTTGTTCTTTGTTTTTTCTTTTCTTTCTTTCTAAGATTTTTAACCCTTTTAACAAAAACCAGTACGTCACTATTTTTAGATCAAAGCCAAATGTGTTGTTTTTTGAGATCTTTCAGCCCACTTCATGTTGTCAAAGAGATTCCCTTTGAGTGACATCTTGATTGTGCAGGCCCAACAGTAATCATGCCAGGATGTGACAGTTTAAGGTTTACCCTTTTGCCACTAACAAAAACAAATACACACCACACTGAGTACCAAAAGGGATTTGGCCAAAAAAAAATGTTCAAACAAATTCAGACCAGAGCTGAGTATGTAAATAACTGAATTTACAAAGAACTGGCAGTATTAGCACAGCACCCGAGGGAATGAGCAGTGACATCACAGCTGATGTGACAGTATTACAGACAGGTGCTGAGGCACCAGGGATTCAGCAGGAGCAGTGAGTGAACGTAACCAGACAAAGGGCAGAAATCTTACAAGCATGACTCAGCATTAACAGCATCTGATTTGGTAGGAAAAGGATTTTCTAGTTACCAATCATGACCCAGTGACCTAACATCAATCAGTTAATATCTGGATTCCCACATATTGTCAAAACCAGGCTAAAAAGAAAGATATATCTCACTAAAATTTTGAATCTCAATTTTCTCCATGTTGTCAAGTTTGATACTGTGACAATGTCAATATCTGGAGAAAACAGTGTTTTGTTTTGTTTTTTCAATCCATACTAGTGGTAATTATCATAATATTTTATGATAGTAGAAGGCTCGGTTTCCACTGTGTCTGCCAGAAAAAAAAGAGACAAAATAACATAAAAGAGAAAAAACAAAAATGTGTGGTATGAGCTGACCCCAGAGTACTGGCCAACTGTAATTCACTGTTAAAACTGAAATAAAAAGCTTGAGAAAATATATAGATAAAAAATGGTTTATATCTTCTTCAGTCAATGTTTTTCTTTCTATCTTGATCAAAACAGCTAAAATGGATGTGATTCTGCTGTGTTTGTTAAGGGCCCGGAGAAATAAATGGGGTGTCTGTGGCTCAGGTGCCAAAGCAGGTGGCTGCTAATCACAGGGTTGTTTGATAACCGCTTAGTCTTGTCCACACACAAGACCCCCAGTTGTTCCTGATGGCAGGAGAGTGCCTTGAGTGGTCTGACATGATTTGTTTGAGTGTGTGTGTGTGTGTGTGCGCGTGCGTGCGTGCGTGTGTGCGTGGGTGTGTATGTGTGTGCGCATGCGTGCGTGTTTATGTGTGTGTGAATAAACACAAGCACACAACCAAAGACAACTGAAAGCTGCAATTTCACAAAAATGCCTTACCTTTCAGGAGATTTTGAGTTTGAATTGGAATTTGTTTTAACGTACCACTGACTGGCAGTACGACTGAATTTAGAATAAAGAATTTTTAAAAAACCGCAAAATGTTAAATTTATCTTATTGTTTTATTATTATTTTGGTTGTTTGTAGAATAGAAGATGGAATCTATATCATATTAAGCTATATTGAAGAAACGTAAGTTACCAGCATGGAGAGACAAAGGAAAGTTTGGAGCTTTGCAGCTTCTCCTTTGGTGCTTTCTAGGAGCTTTAGAAGGAAGGAGTGAAGGGGAGGACAGGGTACGCGGGACCTGCTCAGACTAATTGCCTAAGCTGTAGATCAATATCTCAGCTAAGAAGGAAAGACCAAAGCTCCAGTGATGAAAGAACCAATAGATCCCAGGAGGTTGAATCGTCCCCTGGGTTTAAAGTTGTCATTCTTAAAGGAGCAGTGACGTCAGAATAGTTGATGAGAAAAAGACTCTACATGCTTAACCCTTCCCACTCCATCAGGTGTCATTAAATTCAGGCAACCAGCATCTCTAAATTGTTCTCATGATTACGTAACCCTCAACACAAAGCTGCTTTTTAAGGATGGCACTGGCACCTCTCAGATATGATGATGTCATCTTCTGAATCAAAGCACTGAAAAATAGATGCAGTTGACAAAAGCTTTAAATGTCTTTATGGGGTTTGTAAGCAACCAACATGAAGGTTTTAGTCATGGGAGAGGAAGAGAAATGGAGAGGAGTCACTATTATGTACAGACTCACCATCCATTTCTTATGACACCTCTAACTGTACCAGATTATATCCATGATGTGATGTGAGTATATAGATAAAAAATGGTTTATATCTTCTTCAGTCAATGTTTTTCTTTCTATCTTGATCAAAACAGCTAAAATGGATGTGATTCTGCTGTGTTTGTTAAGGGCCCGGAGAAATAAATGAGGTGTCTGGTGCCCTTTGTTTTGAGGTGTGGTGACTGTGGAGGTCAATGGAGCGCTCTCACTCAAACCAAAATGTTAATAACTTCTCAAACCTGAATATTTAAGAAAGCCAAAGTGAAATTTTGGCTTTCTTAGGACAATATCTATGTGTGCATGATTATTGGGCAACTAATAATGTACAAAATTATTATGCAACTGAATTAAAACTCAAACTTTTCCCATCTCACTTGTTTCTTGTCTTGTTAAAGTGAGAATAATAAACATGCAACTCAAAATTGACAAATAAATATTTCTGACGTTTAAAAAAATAAATCAGTGACCAATATAGCCACTCTTCTTTTCAATAACAGTTTTGTCGGTTTCTTGATCTCTTGACAATCAACTTTTTATGCAGCAGCAACCACAGCCTCCCAGACACTGTTCAGAGATGTGAACTGTTGTCCTTCACTGTAAATCTCCCAATTAAGAAGAGCCCACAAGTTCTCAATGGGGTTTAGGTCTGGTGAGGAAGGGAGTCACTTTATTATTCATTCATGTTTAAGGTCTTTACTGATTAGCCACATAGAGGAGCACTTTGATGCATGTGATGGAGCATTGTCCTGCATACAAATCATGGTCTTCTTGAAGGATTCAGACTTTTTTCTGTAACACTGCTTGAAGAAAGTGTCTTCTAAAACCTGGCAATAGATTCAAGAGATGATTTTGAGACCTGAAAAGGTCCAACTACCTCATCTTTAATAATACCAGCCCAGATCTGTTTTGGTTCAGTGTTGACGTTTCAACTTATGTGTCTTGTTCAGTGGTGGTCGGGTTTCAGCCTTCCTTACCTTGGCCATGTCTCTGCGCTCTTAACATCTTGCTCTTCTGGGTGATCCAGGTTGCAGTTCTGGAATATGACAGCACTGGAAGATAATGGGTTCCTGGTAGCTTCATGTTTGATTCTTCTTAAATCTTTAGCAATTAATTTATGTCTTTTTTTTCTTGTGAACTCGTTGACTATTTGCAGCAAAACGTTTGATGGTTCTGTGATCATAGCCCAATATCTTAGCAATTTCAAGAGAGATGCATCCTTCTGAAAGACTTTTTATAATTTTGGATTTTTCAGAGTCACTTAAATCTCTTTTTCACCCTTGTAGCCTGAGGAAAAGAAGCTGCCTGATAACTACGCACACTTATTAGGTGCAGTTATTACGCTTATTAACTACAATAGATAGAGTGTTGATCTCCTCCCTCATTAAACAAATACACAGCAGCTGATATGTTTATATTCAATAGGTATTCAAGTTTGTACAGCTTGGAGTTGGGAAATATGCATAAAAAGGATAATATGGTAAAAATTAAAACTTGCCTAATTGTGCACACAGTGTATGACTTAAATGCAATTTGACTTGATAATTGAATGGCTTGAAATTGGGCCTGTGTGTTTTTCAAAATCCTACTCTTTCTGAAACTCCACCTACAGGAAGTCATCACAACATGGCTCTTCTATTAACCTTTTAACAGTTTTCCCAGTGTTGCACTGAGAAGTAGCTCCTATAATGAGCTCAGCAAATGCACAGTTCCACCAGGTTTTGCTAATTCCTGATGGCTAGTCTTATGGGAGTCTTGTGGAAGGGCTGCAGTTCTGAGGAGGAGCAGCATCTCGAAGGCGGGGCTAGGTCTAACCAGCCGTTTGTCACAGCTGAATGGTTGCCATGGGAGATTAAAGGATTTCTCAAACATGCATGAAAAAATCAGGCAACACTCCATGTATGTTTTTGATGAGGAAATTGCACTATTACAAGATGCAAAGCTCAAAACAGTTGACTTTACATAACACTTTTCTCAAAAACAAAATGTTTCTCTCTGTTTATGATGAAAGCATGATGGAAAAGCTCTCGACTTACTGTTTCTTTTATCAAATAACAAAGGTTCTTTTAAGGAATACTGGTTAGTCACTAAAATTAGAGGTATCAAAGAGAAATTAAGTGACTCTTGTTTTTTACATTTCATCCACCATGATCTGAAAGCTATTTAGTTCAAAGCAACATCCTGCCACTTGTGCAATTATTTAATTTTGGAAATAAAAAGTTCATTACCATGAAAGAAAACTGAATGTGGACAGTGACAGGGTGCACTATTCATGGAAAATCCACAGGTAGAAAGAAAGAAGGTAATATAACACCTTTGCTTTAAAAAAAATAACTCCATGTTCCCATTTGTTCTTTGGAGGTGTTTTATTTATTGTGATATTTATCTAAATGAAGTATAACATTTGGTGAGAGCATGTGGTGTGTGTGGGCAGTCGGTCTTCACAAATGCTCTAAAAAGGTTCAGTGGGGAGGATTTTGCTGTCCAAAAACGATGATTCCAAGCACTCTAGCTTCAACAGAAACACACGTCTTAGCAAGAACAATTTCTTTGCTAAAATTGTGTTGTTTGTAGACATATCCCATTGAAATTTAGAACTTAGGAAACTACACAAACTAATTTCCCCATACAATAGCTTAGAATCAGATGAGTTGTATTCTTGCTGTTTAAGTTCAGAGACAGAGGGAAGATTTGAACGGATTTTGCTGGACACTGGTGGCAGTAGGTGGGGGGGTGGTGACTGTGGGCAGAGCAGGGTAGCATCCCTGCAGACTAATTGCCCAGAAGATGGCAGGGTCATAAAGCGACAAGGCAAGCAGAGTGGCAGTGAAAAGGACCCGCTCATAGCAACATCATAAAAGCTAATTACCGTCATACAAAGAGACGCCCCAACCATTGTGTAATTTGGAAAGGAGCAGAGAGAAAAACAGCAAGACAGAATGAGAGAAGGAGGAAGAGCAAGAGAATACATGAAAGGACCTGCAGCAATAAAGACTTAACCATTAACAATTAGTCTCCAGCGCTGCTAATGAGAAAGCCGAGATAAAACGGAGGGCTAAATTTAAACATAAGGGTTTCCATAGCGTCTCTCCAAGGTTCAGTGCTCTCTCTCGGTAATAATGGCAACGTCCTACTAGGCCCCAATGTAAGCTATAGAATGAGGCAGAGGCACTAATGCTTCCCATGGCCTCTCAGGGTAATAAAGTCTTGAGCTTTAGTGGCCTGTGGCAACGGATAAGCTAGCTGCTGCATGGAGGATGGATTATCTCTAGAGAGAGAAGGTGAAGAGTAGTTAAACGGGCAAAACAAATGCCCCTCAGCTACAACATATTATACGTATACATCATGGTGGGAATATATCACATGGTTACTTAGCAAACAAAGCATCCAGATGGATTCCTTAATGTTAACAGTTATAAAAACAATGAGATGTCTCTATGTGCCACAAATATAGTGGCTATAAACTATACACCCTGTTAAAATACCAGATTGTAAAACATGATTCAGTGGTACATTTTTCAAAACCTTTTCCAGACATTATGTGTAGCATACATAGCATAATTCAACATGAAAAATAACAATAATACAATTGACAGCTCAAATAAGTGTAGATATTCTTAACTGACATTTTGTTGAAGAACCTCTTGAATCTTTGTAATATTTTATATCAGTCTACCTTACAATTGTTCTTAAAATGTATCATATTGTAAAGACATTTGTTATCATAGTCCTCAAATGACTCCTCAAATTTTCTTTTGAAATTAGCTATGGACTCCAGAGAGTCAATTCTAATATTTTCGTTTTCCTGTCGTAATTTTTTATTTATTTTTTTTCTGTGGATGTTGGATGTGTCGTAGGACTCTGTGATCCTGGAAAATTAAATGCACAGCTTTTCACAAACAATTTGAACAGTTTTGTCTCAAAACTGAGTGGTATTAAAACGTATTTCTGCTTTCTCCCATGCCTTGACAAATAGCCACATGTTTCACTTCAGGCATGGGATTTCATTTGCTGATGTTCAGCGTTGTTTTTACATCAAACAGACCTAATGCAATTGT